CTCAGGAGCACCCCAACTCTGCCCTGGGCTGGCCCCAGCGCTGTCCCCTTGGCCACTCCCGGTGGGACACCAGCAAGGACCTCCTGCCTCCAGCCCTGCATCCTTCACCGAAGGCCCTGGAGCTCTCAGTGAATCTTTTGGGGCACCACAAGCCCCTCAAACCCCAGGGTGGGAGGATAGTTTTCCATGCCTATGGCCCTGCCTGGCAGCAGGATTTCGAGGGGCAGGGCTTTTGAGTGGCTTCCAGGGGTCCAAGTGTCACTTTTGTATGGATTCAAGTGCCTTTTAATAAATCAGAGACTTCCCAGTGCCTGCTTCTTGTACCTACTGCAGAGGATGGTGCAGCTCTTGGCCCTACAGCTGCTTTGGGAGCTCCAACCAGGGGGGCTGCTGATGGCCATACAGGGGCTGCTTGTTGTGGGGGGCTCATTCTGACACACCCTGGGCTCTGGCAAACCCTTGGTAGGCATCAGCCCTCGTGTTGGGGCCACGAGGGGATGCCAGGGATGCTGCTCTGAGCGCCCTGAGGGAGCCAACCATCACAGTGTGGGGGTGAAAGTCTGTGGAAGTGACAAATAGCAACTAGGAAACTGTGGCAGCAGCTCTCTGGTCACAGAGAGCAACAGGAATCGATGGGAATCCTTGCTAAACCCCCGTGGATCGAGCAGGCCTTGATCAAGAATCGATGCTCTGTCAATTAACCAATTAACAGAGATGTGGAATGAAGATATCAGGCTGGTGCTTCAGTGGAGGGGCCAAATCACACAGCAGACACCAGAGCCTTGCAGAAAGAGACCCCCACCCCATGTAGGACTCCCCAGGAGCAAGGAGCTTGTCCCACACTCCCCCCAGAAGGGGACCCCAGGGAAGCCAGTGCTGCTCTGAGCCCCCCAAGCTACAGGAGCCTTCCATCACAGCATGGGGGTAAAAGTCTGTGGAAGTGATGAGCAGCCACCATGGCAGGAACCAGGAAACTGTGGCAGCAGCTCTCTGGTCACAGAGAGCAATAGGAATCGATGGGAATCCTTGCTAAACCCCCGTGGATCGAGCAGGCCTGGATCAAGCATCGATGCTCTGTCAATTATCCAATTAACAGAGATGTGGAATGAAGATATCAGGCTGGTGCTTCAGTGGAGGGGCCAAATCACAGAGCACAAAGAGACCCCCACCCTATGCAGGACCCTCCAGGACTGAGGGGCCTCATCCCACACTCCAGCCAGGTGACACCATTGGGTTGAAGGATGCTGACAAGAGCTGTGCTGTGCCCATTCTGCTTGTGCACACCTCACACACAGCCTGCAAAAATCCATATAAAGGGACAGAGCTGAGCATGGTGCCAAGGGAAGGAGGACAAGCTCCTGGCGTGCTCTGTCTTGCCCTGTGGATCTGGGACTCCCCATGCTTGCTCTGGGGACTTGGCCCAGCAGGGAAGAGCCCCCAAACTCAGGAAAGAACTCCCAGCTTGGCCCCACAGCTTCGGGAAAGGGCTCCCAGACTGGCCCCACAGCCTGGGGAAAGGGCAGCTTTCTCCAGTGCCACACCTTGGCTGCCAACCGGTTGCTCCGGCTGTCCCGTGCCGGGAGCAGCTCTGACGTGGCCCCTGGTGCCAGCTCCCGGATGCCTCCGTGCAGGGAGGAGCTGCTGCCACACGGGCTGGGAGGAGCTCCTCGTGGCCATGACTAGAGGCTCTGGATCGCCCTGAGTAGCTCCTGGATGACCATAAGTAGCTCCTTGAAGGCCATGAGTAGAGGCTCTGGATTGCCATGAGTAGCCTGCATAGGGTCATGGGTAGCTCAGAGATGGCTGTGAGTAGCACCTAGACGACCACAAGGAGCCCCTGACGGTTCTGAGTAGGCTCTGATGGCCACGTGTAGCTCCTGGATGGCCACAAGGAGCCCCAGACAGTCCTGAGTAGCCTGTCAATAGCCCCTGGATGGCCACAAGGAGCCCCTGNGACCCCAGTGTCAGTGGCCAGGGAGCACAGACAGGCTGGAGATGCCCTGCAGCCAGGGGAGAGGGGTGACGAGAAACGCCCCACTCCTCCCTGTGCTGCACCCCTACCCCTTCCTTCATCCCCTGGCCCTTCGCCATCCCTCCCCTCCGCTGGGTGCCGGAGGGGCCCCCCAGCACCCCCTTTGTACAGCACCCCCTTTGTACAGCTTTCTAACACGGGATTTTTTATACCATTGTCGGGAATAAATAACCAAAACCATGCCGAGCTCCCGAGACCTCCCCCACCCTGCTGGGCCAAGGCTCTCCTGGCCCCCTGTGGGGGGTTGGGCTGGTTAATTAATTAATTGGCTGGTGTTTGCACGGGGCTGTTAAGTGGCCAAGTGCCACAGTGGCTGGCACTGTCCCCGGCTTTATCTGGTGACACAAAGGCCTCCCCTGAGGGTAGGGACCCCTCCCCCTGCACTGCAGAGAGATTCCAGGTGGGGGGCAGGGGTTTGTCCCGGGACAAACCCCTTTGGAATGTGACAGACCCCAGGGGATGGGACAAATCCCACTGCTGGTGAGGAGGGGGCTGGGCAGGGGGACAAAGCCTGGCTGCACCCCAGGGACCCCCACGGGGTGACCCCAGGGATTTGGGGGTCCCTGAGGGGGAGACAGTGTGGGTGCAGGGAGCTGGGATCACAGGGATTTGGGGTCCCTGAGGGTGAGACACTGGGGGTGCAGGGAACAGGGATCACAGGGATTTGGGGACACTGTGGGTGCAAGGAGCTGGGATCACAGGGATTTGGGGGCCCTGGAATTGGGAACTGCAGGGAGCAAGGGTCCTGGAGAGGTGAGATTTTGGGGCACAGGGATGCATGACACCCAAATGTGGGGGACCTTAGAGATGGAGAGTCATGGAGAGGGCACACAGGGATGAGTGACCCCCAGGATGTGTTGGGGGGAACCCTGGGACAGTGGGGTTGCAGGGAAATGTGGCTCCCAGGGATGCAGGATCCTGGGGAATTGTCCCATGGGACATTGTCCCAGTGATGCCCAGGATGTGTGGGGACACCCTGGGACAGTGGGGTCACAGGGAAATGTGGATCCAGGGGACATGTGGATCCCAGGGATGCAGGATCCTGGGGGGAATTGTCACAGGGATGTGCGACCCCCAGGATGTTTGGGGTCACAGGGGAAATGTGGATCCCAGGGATGCAGGATCCTGGGGGGGAATTGTCACAGGGATGTGTGACCCCCAGGATGTGTGGGGACACCCCGCGGCAGTGGGGTCACAGGGGAAATGTGGATCCTGGGGAATTGTGGATCCCAGGGATGCAGGATCCTGGGGAATCATTGTCACAGGGATTT